TTTTTTTTTTTTTTTTTTAAAAAAAGGGGGAAAAGAAAGCAGACATGCACAGACAAGGATTGCATTTGCCTTTGTTCTTTGCAAGGACCTGTGTACCCTCTCCCCTTCCTTTCTGCCCCCCTCCCTGACCCAGGGGGGTTCCTCTATCACTCTGCCTGCCAATTCGTGGCTGTGTTTGTGTGCCTGGAGCTACAGATCCCCAATGAGGTCAGAGCCCAGTGGTGTTGATACAAACAAGCAATGAGAGAGTCTAAACAAATAAAAGGTGGGAAGAAAAATGGAGACAGAAGACAATTTTCCTCGCTCTTTCCTTCAGAAGGAGCGCTGTAATCCTGTTAGCTATTCTGTCCTGCCTGACACAGGGCACGGCGCTTCCTTGCCTTAATGCCCGCTTGAGTCCATATTTATATAGCAGAATAGCTGAAATTCTTTACCACCCACGTTTCCTGCTCTTGGGAGCTCTCCCAGCCCCATATGACATCAATCACCTGTGCTACTGGGGCTTTTGATGCTGGGTTTATTAAATTTAATTTGGTGTGCACAAGTGGACCAGCCTATGTTTTGTACTCAGAGTTGCCTAAAAGATACTTCTCCCTGAAAATACCAAACAATCGCAAATTCTTCCGGTTTAGTGGGGAGTTGAAGATTTTCAGCATCTAGCAAACACCTAAGTATATAACCTATTTGTAAATGCGGAGGCAGATTTTAATCTTATTTCTGTTTTGATGCTTTCAGAGTTTGCTTCCTACCTCTTTCCTCATGACAGCTCTGAAAACAGGGTGGAGGTGTGATATCTTAAGGTTTCGGGGCTTTTTTTCAAGATGCCAAGGGAGGGGAAGAAAATAACCAAAGCAGATTATCTACCTGTCAGCTCTGGTCCTTTCTTGAGAAGTCTACAGAAGTAATGACGTTTCCAGTAGACCTTAGGCCCACATCAGTGCGGCAGGAGATAACCACGGTGCCCTTGAAGTTAGTGCTTTGACCCTCAAGTCTGGGGGTTGAATTTATCTACTGCCATGAACACTGAGTTTGAAAGAAGAACAATGAAGGGGAAAAAAAACCCCACTGTAATTATGATTAAGAAATCATTTTTGTGCATGAGAAGTGCTTGTTACTGAGAAATTATTCCCATTTTCTTTTCTGGTGTTGTATGGAGAGCTGACTTATTTGAATGTTTTTATTTATCAGGTAGAATTCAACACCACTGAAATCAGAGGACCTCTATCCTCCAGGGGGTCCAAACCTGAGACCTTCTTGGCTTCCAGACAACTGCAAAAGTAATGCTTTTTTTCTTATTCTTTCAGTTTAATAACCACCATAGATCAGACCTTCATGGAGAAATGGTATCTGTAGCAAGTGTGTTCCCAAGAGAGGGAATTCCTTACCTGAGAGAAGGTAAGGATGGAGAATGCCAGTTCTCCTACACTTTCAAAAAAATGTGCAAACGGCTTGAATCCAGTTTACTGACCTGTCTCCAGGGAAGCACGCTCTCAGTGCTGAAGGCAGACAAAAATCAATTCTAATGACTGAGGGTCTTCAGAAAGAGTGAGAGGGGACCTATTGAGCAAGCTCCTGAATTCTTAAGAAATGTTTTGTTCTCTCATTTCCAGCCAGCGTGCCAGGTACATACCTCCCTTCAGGGTGAAAAAGTACTTACCCTTTTTGAGTATGACTAAGCAGAGGGCTGTTTTATAAACTGGAAAGTTCTCCTTGCAGAAGGCAAGGCACACGCTGTCTGGAGCGCAGTGTTTGCACTCGGGAGGAGGGTAAACAGTGCTTTGGTTTCTAAGCTTTTTGTGACTCTCAAAGCTCGTGCATGGGTTGAGCTGGGAGCTGGTTAGCTGCGGTAACAAAAGCTTGCTTTGTCAAATGATTTAACTGAATTAATTTAAACTGGTGCTCCCTGATATGCTGTCCCTGTGACATTTCCCTGGAACTCCAAACGCTGGCAATAGCCACGAGGAGCCGTGTCTTTCCCTTGTAGCCTGGCTCTTGCAGTGCCCCATGGGGTACGGTGCTGCACAGGCTCCTTGGGTGGTTTTGTTCCCTAACACCAAACCAGAAAAAAAAAATCTGTGCAAATACTTCTTGGTAGAGAGGAGGAGTAAGTCCTTCTTAAAAAAAATATGTCTTTAAAAGAGCCTTAAAAGAATTAAGCCAAGTGTTGTACACCCAAAGCTGGAAATCCCTGGGGTACCTGCAGTGAAGAATAACACAATCCCGTGCTCCTTATTCCTCTCCTAGTCTTCACCAAAAACTGTCATTTACTTCAGTTGCTTTATTTTACCTCTGCATTCTTACGCTTGAAACATTCAGGGACTGTAAAATAGTTTGTCCAATGCATTCGTCTTTGAACAGTTTAAAACCAGGAGAATCACAGCAATTATTTCCCAGACCCTCCTGCTGTGAATACTCAAAACTAACCAGCTATTTCAATGAATTTCTAAGCCACTGATGACTTTTTAAAAACTTATTTTTGCCCTCATTCTTTATTGTTGACTGAACTGGTTAATTTAAAACAGATTAAGCTGAGATTTCATTAAATATTATGAGAACGCACAAAGAAACTTAAAACACAGCGTCATCTGAGAGAACTGTAATTCAATTGTAAAAGTTAGATTTGACTGGAGGGTGGAGCAATTATCAAAGAATAAGCAAAATATTCTGGGACAGATGTCACAATAGCTTGAAAAACTGCCTTTTTTTCCCCCTAAATTTTAAAACTGGAATTATCTCTAAGATAAATACAGTTTTGGCACCTAACTTCCTATTTCATAAAGGACTTTCTGTAACATGAGCAATTTGTTTTTTAAAAAATTTTAAATTATACTTTCAAAACATCGTTGGCTCTGCAATAGTTTAAAGTTGGTTTTTTTTTTTTCTCTCCTCTGCAACAAGTTTATGAAGTTGTCAGGTGCCTTAGAAAGTTTGCCAGCTCTCAGTCCCCTCCCTGGTTTCCTAAACTCAGCGATAAAAGGAAGCAAAGGAGCACGAGAAGCACAGCAGAAAACGTATATTGCTCAGCCTTACCTGTAACCTTAGGTAGCTGCTCCGGTTAGCTGGGTCCCGGGAAGTGCAGCAGAACCCACAAAAGAAATCTTACTAACTTTGCAACTGGAGTCTATTTTTAGAGGAGGATTTGCTGACTCTGACCTTGAGTGCTGCCCACTCCAAAGGACGATCTTTACATCTGCTGGCAAAACTATTCCCTGATGTGACCTGAAACATTAAACCTGGCAATTTAGCTACCTAGCCTCGGTATGACTAAGATAATGTGATGCCGGCATGTCGGCTGTAATAAAACAAAACTCATCTTTTATCTTCTTATCCCTTTGTCAAGCCTGATGCTATGTGGGTTGGCGGCATTGTGCTGCTGTTTTCTGTCATGCTGCGCACAAGTGATTTGGCACTGGCACAAGGGGCAATGGGAGAGGTGGCATCCTGACAAGATCCTCGTCTCTTCATAGAATGGTTTGGGTTGGAAGGGACCTTCAAGATCATCCAGTTCCAACCCCTGCCCTGGGCAGGGACACCTCCCACCAGACCAGGTTGCTCCAAGCCCCATCCAGCCTGGCCTTGAACCCCTCCAGGGATGGGGCAGCCACAGCTTCTCTGGGCAACCTGTTCCAGTGTCTCACCACCCTCACAGGAAAGAATTTGTTTCCAATATTGAATCTAAATCTCCCCCCTTTCAGTTTAAAACCGTTACCCCTTGTCCTATCACTCCACTCCCTGATAAAGAGTCCCTCCCCATCTCTCCTGTAGCTGCCCTTCAGATACCTGTGCACCACCAGAAGGCTACCTTCCCCTACCCACTGTCTTGGTTTTCTCCAGTGCTGCCACTCTCAGTATCCACCTGACTTCTGAAATTGCCTTTCTCTGCTGACAAAGTGATGTGGTGGTGCTCAGCCCTGCTCAGCTCTGGTGACATGGGGGCAGCTTACCAAAAAAGGAGGTGGACGTACACTCTCCAACCTTTGAAAAACCCCTTAACTTTGCTAAAAAGTTCTCCTGAAAAGCTCCATGCCTTCCTAGTGCAAAAAGTCTAAAACTTTCTGTTGTAAGCCATGGCCAGATTGATCAAGGATCAAATCTGAGTTCTCTGCTGTCAGAGCCCCTTCTCTTCCACTCCAGCACTCTGTCCCCTGTGGGACCTTCATGGCCCATGGCTGACTGCTGAAGGGATTGGTGATCAGGAGCGAGGAGCTGGTACATGATACCCTCTCCCCAAGCACTGGTTCTGCAGCAAACTGTGCCTCAACGTGGCCAACTCGGACAACTTCATTAGGAGTAATGAGATTTTGGTGCTGCTGGGGCCAGGCTTGCAATGACATAGGAAGTACCAGCTCTCAGGTGAGTATTGATAGTTCTCAGGGGAAATTCTTCAGATCTGTTGCCTTCTGCCAGGGAGGGAGGGAAAGAGGCAAAGAGACCAGTCAGGACAAGTGCCTGATACTGGGAAGTAACCCACTGGTCTCTGCACCTGCCTTTTGGGGCCTCCCTGCCCCTTCTGTTTAGGTGACCATCTTGGCAATGATCTCTGAGCAGTCCTGCATGCCCTGCTTGCCTGTCTTTCTGGCTCACAGTGCTCCCTACTCTCACCCCAGAGCATGCAAAAAGCAGGCAGTTGTTGATATTTACCCACTGTGGAACTTTTTTCATCTCCTACAAAAACAGAAACAGTCTTCTGTGAAGGCAGGTGCCTGCGCTTGACCAAAGTTTCAGGTTGTCCAAGTGCTTTTTTTGAAGTACCTAAGTCTTACAGTAGGTGCCACTAATTTTCAGTGGGATACAAGTTCCTGACTTACGGCAGTTATTTCTAGTGTTACTTCAAGTCCTTTCAGCCACCTTTGTCATCCCTTGTCTGTTTAAAAGATAAAAGTTCATCCCAGAAGGTCCAGAACCAGACTGGGTCATGGCCCATGGCTAATACTGCAGTACAGAGGTGAAGTAATAGCAAACGGTTCCAGTTCAAGTTCTGGGCATTGGCTCTGCTGCTCTTCCATGCGAACAGCATCACTCTGGCCAAGTTTCTATGTTCCAGAGCAGCCGAGCTCCTCCCTGCCAATTATTCAGATAGTTTCTCTTAAAATGAGAAAGAGCTTAGATGTTAGAAACCTGCTGTGCCTTCTGAGTTACCTTGGAAGGTTGTTGTGCAAATTAATTCTATACTGATAACAGAGAAGCTTTGTGGAGGAGGAGATACAGACCCCCTATAACAGAAACTAGCAGTGGTTGTTTTATTTTTATCCCGGCAGGTGACCCAGTGTGGGGGAACATGGGTAAGATGATACAGCAGAGGGGAGGCTGCTCTGTAAGGTGTGGGATGGAAGGTCCACACAGCCCGGGTGGCACGGCATGGGGATGGACAGTGGTCTGCTGCTCCTGTTGGGCTGTCACTCCCCCAGGTTGTCTCTCTGATGTCAGACTGATGGCATGGCAATCTTTTGTGGTGGTGTTTTTTCAGGCTGGCATTTTGAGTTCCGGGAATATTAAGCTGAAACAGAAGTATTTGTTTGTCTGCCTGGCTGTCAAAACAATCCGAGCCCTTGTGCCCTGCTCTCTGTAGGGTCCCAAGAACGTGTAGCGAGGGATCTTTCACCTCCTGGAAAAATGTTCTATTTTTGGGACCAGTTGTGTGCTTTTCCATTAGTTTTTGTTAAGTAAAAAAAAAAAATACTAGCTGCTGAGATGTTTTGAGAGTGGCCAATGACTTAGAGTGCTTTGGAGCTTGGACACATGGGGAACGCAGCAGGAAGGCTGTTATTTTGGAAGAAGGTGAGCACCTGCCCTCTGGAAAGTTGAACGGTTGCCTTGGGCTCCTAGAAGCAGATGTTTGCCGTGTTATTGGTAATTTCTGAAAATCTTGGCTGAGCTGGTGACGGTGCTTTTAACGTGCAGATCCCTCCCCCTTCCCAGAGCCTTGCACGTGTCCAGCCTGCTCTTCTTCAGCAGGCAGGTCCCTGCTGCTGGTGGTTGGCTCTTGAGACCAGTCACCCACTGGCCCCACGTGCCTGTTTGAGCAAAGCAACTACACCAGCCCCAGAACGTGACCCTGGGCAAAATTCGTTGTCCCTTTACTTTTCATGTGTATTCTGAAAGTGTCAAAGGGTCAACCAAGAACAGCACCATGCACTGTTCAGATGTAAGGCAATTTCTAACCCAAAGAGCTGGTATTCTAGATTGAAGATGGAAAGGTTTAGGTGGGAAAAGGGATGACACCCAAGCAGAATGAGCAAGACTGGCCCAAAAAATGCCAGTGACCAGCTTCAAAGGTGGCAGTTTCTGTGGCACAGAGTATAGAGTTGTGGGAAGGATGAGAGCTAAAGTCCCACTCGGGGAAGGGCTGGGAAAGGGGGGAAAAACCCAAAGCTTTTTTTTTTTTTAATAAAAAAAAATAATAAAATCTTAGAAGGACTGAATTTCTTCCACAAACACTGGGAAAAGAAAAGAAAAAGGGAGAGAAATGATAGATTTCTGGCCAGACCACACGAGAGGTGCAGTTGGAAAAATCTGACACTGTTTTCTAAGGCTTGAAATTTTTATGTTAGTTTGAAATAAAAGCTTTGGGTAAAGTTCTGCTTTAGAAGAATTCCCTCCCCCATTCCAACCTGATGGACTGGAAGATTTCCTCTTCCCTACAAAACTTGCTATTATTTGGAAAAGCTGGGTTTTTAACAATTGCATGGGAAGAATAAGTATATAATTATATAAGATTGTCCTAATGGACATTTGCAGCTGTACTGAGATGCTAACAGCATGCAGAAACCATTATGTTTCCAGTTGTTTGGCAAAAGTTAAGAAACCTTATATATATATTTTAAAGTTAACTGTAAAGTAAATCCAGATGGTTCTCCCTTGCACAGACAAGCAGTCTTCAAACTAGATGTATAGCTGCAGCCTGGCTATAACTTGTTTTGATTACTGCAGATAGAGAGAAGTGTTTTGAATGACTGTGCCCCCTCCTTGCAAAATGCTGCGCGCCCTTGATTCTTGCTGAAGTCAACTGGCCTTTAAGCAGCACTGCATAAAACTTGTTTGACAATACCTGGCGAGCGTGAGCATCTAGCTGGGCGTTACTTGTTTAATTTCTCTTTTTACTGAAGTTTGGCTTAATGGCCCCCATCAAGGGTTGGGGCTCTGCTGAGGCGGGCGTTGCAGACCCATAAGACAAAAAGGACAGTTACTGCCCCGTGTAACCTACCATTTGAGCTTGAGTTTGTTCTTCTCCTTATCTTCATCTCCTAGTTAAGGATTACCAAAAAATATTGGTGGTATGCTTATATATAAGCGATATATTCAGAGTTTTCTTTGATTCCTTAATGAGCATTGTCTGTTGTGTTCATTATTTCATTTCAGCTGGACGTCGGTTGTGGAGCTTCTGTCAGCCGCAGAATCAGAATTATGTTGACTTGTGAGACCATTCTGCAAATCAAATCAAAGGGGCAGCTTTGCTTAACAGGGCGAGGATTTCAGCGTCTGAAGGTTTTAAGTCAACACATTAGGAGCATTTCTGAAATTCTGAAAATAAGGGGAACTGAAAAGTCCATCAGAAATGATAAGACTCATGGTACGTTACTTTTTATGTTGGGCTTTTTTTAGGCAATAAGCAAGTGTTCTTGTAGATAAGAGTTGATGTTGTTTGTCCAAGTACTGTAACAGGTAGAAATACTGTTTATGAGCTGCTTAGGCAGTATTGTCAGGCAAGTAACTTGGATTTGACCTGGTAGGAGTCAAATTTACTGACTGGTGTGTCTCTTGCTATGTCTCTGACAGGGCTAATAGCCCAGCAGTAATGGCTGTGTTTATAAGACAGTATCTGAGGCTGGAGATGGAGGTCCCTTGGGGCTAGGAAGGAAGGGACCCCAGTCCTGAAGGAGGTTCCCTGGGCTTGTGGGGGGAGGCTGGGGCCAGGGCTCTGAAAGGCGTTTTGTTCACTGTTCTGCTTTTTCTCTCGCTGTCAGCAGAAAAAAAAAAAAACGTTCTGGGAGATTTGTGTTGAAATGGAGTATAGATCCCAAGGCACAGTAATGTGGAAAATAAGGGATGAGGGCCTTCTTGTAACCTCCCTTTACCAAAGAATGCTGGGAACA